TTAACTCAAAATGGATTAAAGATTTGAATCTAAGACCTAAAACCATAAAACTTACTCCTAGAAGAAAACATAGGTGGTAAGCTCCTTGACACTGGTCTTGGTGGTAATTTTCCAGACTTGATACCACAAGCAAGGCAACAAAAGCAAAAATAAGTAAGTGCAACTACATCAAACAAAAAAGCTTCTGCACAGCAAAGGAAAGAATCAACAGAATGAAAAGGTAACCCACTGAATGGGAGAAAATACTTGCAAATCATATATATCTGATAAGGGGTTAGTTAATAATCAGAAAACATAAAAAACTCATACAACTCAATAGCAAAAAACCCCAAACAATTTGATCAAAAAATGGGCAGAGGATTTGAAAAAAACACTTTTCAAAAGACATACAGATGGCCAACAGGTACATGAAAAGGTGCTCAACGTGACTAATCATCAGGTCATGCAGATCAAAACAATTAGATCCTCACACCCATCAGAATGGTCATTATCAAAAAGACAAGAAATAACAAGAATTAAGGAGGGAGGGTGTAGCTCAAGTGGTAGAGCACATGCTCAGCATACACAAGGTCCTGGGTTCAATCCCCAGTCCCTCCTCTAATACCAACCAACCAACCAACCTAATTACCCCTCCCACCCCAAAGAAAAGTATCGGTGAATATGCAGAGTACAGGGAACCCTTTAACTGTTACAATCACTATGGAAAACAGTATGGAGGTTCCCCCCAAAATTAAAAATAGAACTACCATATGATCTAGCATGTCCACTCCTGGGTATTTAACTGAAGAAAATGAAAATACTAACTTGAAAAGCTATGTGCACCCCCATGTTCACTGCAGCATTATTTACAATAGCCAAGACATGGAAACAACCTAGTTCCATAGATAGATGAATGGATAAAGAAAAAAATAAATATATATGAAATATTTAGCCATAAAAAAGGAAATCTTGCCATTTGCAAAAACATGGATGGAACTTGAGGGCACTATGCCAAGTGAAGTACGTCAGGCCAAGAAAGACAAAAACCATATGATCACACTTATATGTAGATTGTTAAAAAAAAAAAAACTCCAAAAAGCAAAAACAAAAAATGAGATCATAGAGAACAGATTGGTGATTGCCAGAGGTCAGGACTGGATGAAATAGGCGAAGGAGGTCCAAAAGGTACAAACTTCTATTTATAAAATAAGTAAGTTATGGGGATGTGATGTACAGTATGGTGACTACAATTAGTAACGCTGTATTGCATATTTTTGAAAGTTGGTAAGAGAGTAAATCTTGAAAGTTCTTACCACAGAAAAAAAATCTGTAACTATGTATGGTGAATAGACTAACTAACGTTAACTAGACTTACTGAGGTGATCGTTTCACAATATATACAAACAGTGAATCATGTTGTACATCTGAAACTAATATAATGTTATATGCCAATTACACCTCAAACCAAAAAAAAAGAAAGAAAGAAAGAAAGAGATAAACTGGACCTCATTAAACTTAAAAACTTTTGGTCTATAAAAGAACCTGTTAAAAGGGCGAAAAGACAAGCTACAGACTGGGAGAAATGACTATAACCACGTATTTGGGAAAGGACCAGTATTGAGAATATAGAAAGAACTCTCAAAATTCAACAGTTTAAAGACAATCGAAGTAGAAAATAAGTTAAATACATAAATAGACATTTCACCAAAGAGGATATACACATGACAAATACACATATGAAAAGATGTTCAACATCACTAGCTATTAGGGAAATGCAAATTAAAACCACAGTGAGGTATCACTAAACATATAGCAGAATGGCTAAAATTAAACATAGTGACACTACCAAATGCTAGTGAGGATACAGAAAACTAGATCACTTACATATTGCTGCAATATAAAACGGCACAGCCACTCAGGGAAACATTTATTTTTTTACAAATCTAAATATGCAACTACCATATGAATATGCGCTCCTGGGCATTTATCTCAGAGAAACGAAGACTCAGCTCACACAAAAACTTGTACTCGAACATTCTAGATGTCCTTCGGAGGTTGCACGGTTAAACTGTGGTATACCCACAGCAGGGAGTACTACTCAGTAACAAAAGGGAATGAGCTACTGATACATAAAACTTGGCTGAATCTAAAGGAATTATGCTAAGTGAAAAGAACCAATCCCAAAAGGGTACATACTGAATGATTCCATTCATATAACCTCAAAATGACAAAATCAGAGATGAACAGTTTAGTGCTGTCAGGAGACAGAGATGTAAGGGGAAGAGAAAGAGAAGTGACTGTGGTTATGAAAGGGCAACTAGGCGGATCCTTCTGGACAGAACTTTTCTGTATCACGATTGTGGTGAGAGATACAGGAATTAGCCCACGGGACGGAATTCTGACAGAAATAACCCACTGGACGTGCATGCGTACACCGCCCAGCCCATACACAGGGGTACAAGTAGACCTGGGCAAATCGGAGTAAGACGGAAGAACGCAATCAGCGTCAACACCCAGGTTGTGATACTGCCCTACAGTTTCACAACGTGCTCTCTCACTGGCGGGACAACTGGGTGAAAGGCACACAAGATCTGTCTGTATTATTTCACACAACTGCAAGTGAACCTATGATTATCTCAAAATGAAGTTTTTATTAAAAAAAACTTTAATATCTTAAAACATGTAGAAATAAAGTACAGCATGGTTTATTAACACATTCCACCCGGTTTAATTTAGGTAGTAAAACTATATTCAACAG